GAGAAGTTTCTGTTTTAACACAGTGGGAATTTCCACCACCCCATTCTTTGTTAACATTATCATGTTGGTACCTCAACTACATTGATATATGTATGCAAAGAGCAGTTACTTACTCATCTAAATAATGGTGATGACCTATGCTTACTTTAGGATCTGGATGATGTGTTGGAGAAAGCCAAGAAGGTAAGTCAGTATCTTTAATGGCCCCCATTTTGTTTGTTTTTCCTGCTAACATCAAGTTGTCTTAGCTTGGCATACTATGTTGTTTAGCTGTGCTATTTTTATATATACTATGGTGATGTTGCGTCTGTAGTTAATATTAGGTTGCATTTACTAAGTGTTTACCATGTGCCAGCACTGATCTAAGCCCTTTCTAAACTTTATTTCATATAGAGTTTCAGTCTTCTGAAGAAGTTACTATTTTATAGCCAGCTGTTCCCCCATTTACTAAGTGAGGAAGCTAAGGCCTAAAAATCAGTAATGGGTCTGAAGATACATGCTAGTGAAGTGACAGGGACAGATTAATCTGAATTCAGAATGTGTTCCTGAAGCCAACCTGGTTATCACCAGTACAGAACAAATTGGTCCTTCTGTCCTTAAAATTCTGGAGAAAATTCTGGCTATATTATTAAAGTTTTCTGAAACATTTCGATTTGTTAGGAAAAATTATTTTTGGAAGTGTTTATGAAATTTATTGCAACTAGCATTTTGTAGTCTTCTCAGAAATTGATATATAGAGCCAGAAATGGTTGTGTATTAATACACTTTTACATACAGCAACTTTCAGGTTAATTAGATGTATGGACTTTGGGATCACATAAGCCTCATGATCTTGGGCAAGTTGTTTGATTACATTCTAAATCTAATTCATAGGTTTATGTAGATTAAATGAGGTAATATTTATATTTCACTTGATTTATATTAACTGTATGTGTTATTTGGGACTCTTAACTATCCGTATTTTTTTCAGGCTAACATTGTGGCCCTTGTAGCAGTTGCTGAACATTCAAGAGAATTTGAAAAGATTATTCAACTTTCAGAAAGATGCTACTTTAATTACGTTTTTAAAGGGTTGCTAATAAGGACACGGTTATGATGTTAGATGTATAATATCAGACACCTATTTTAGAGGGTGAAGAGGAAAAAACCTATTAACATAGCCCTGAAAAGAGATTGTTTTCTGCTGTTTCTTCAGAATGACATCATAGTCTCCTTGTCTATTATTCCTCTTACTTTTTTCTCCATGTTTAGTTACAGTGGGGTCATCCTGCCATGCTTAGGTGTTCATCCAGTGCAGGGGCTTTCACCAGAAGACCAAAGAAGTATCACATTAAAGGTAACAGTCATGTAAACCAAAACCCATTAAAAATGATAACTCTTGGGGCCAGGGATTTAGCTCAGTTATTCTGCCGCCTGCCTCACAAGCGCAAGGTCCCGAGTTCAATCCCCCAGTACCAAAAAAATATAACTTTTGGCCTAATAATCCTCCTCTAATTTATAGTCTAAGAAAATAACCCAAAAGAAGCACTACCTTCTTTTACAAATATGTTCATTGCAACATTATCTGTAGAGATAAATGTAATAGAGAAAAATGGAAGACTCCTAGGGCTTCAGAAATAAAGGAATGGTTATGTAACTCGCAATGTTAAATATAGTACATTAATAGGAAATGCTTGTCATAACGGGGAGAAAAGCAGGATACCAAATAGTTTCTAGAATATTAGAAACACACATGAAAACATAGTTTATGAAGGAAAAGACTGGAGATAAAACACAGAAGTGATGGTAATTATAGGTTACTTTTTTCACATTTTTTGGTCCTGGGGTCATATTGCTTTTGCAAACAAAACAAAAAGTGATCTGGGAAAAGGAAGATATGGATTCATAGGTGCTGTACGTTAAGGGGACAGGTGAGTTCAAATCAGGGGTGTCTTCTCTGCAGGTAGAGGCATCACTGCAGGAGTGCGCTTGGTCTGCCAAGCTGTGCTGGGTTTGTACTCTGCAGAACCTCCCACGGGTGTCACTGACCCTCAGCCACTGTTAGGGCTGTGTCTAGATGTCCTCCAAAGCCTCATGCTTTCTCCGAAGTGGCTGGATCTAGACTGTGTGATTGACTCATGGAGGGGCAAGGCCCTAGGGCACTAGGATTAAGGTTGTCAGTGCTACCCGCCCTAAGAAGCCTGAATAAGACAGAAGGGGCAGGAAGGCGCTGTTAAGGTCCCTGTTACTTTGCTACCTTGTGTGTGCCATGTTGTTTCTTCTCTGTGATGCCTGTTTGCCATCCCTGCCTTGAAGACAGCCGATTGTGGACTGAAACTTCTCTGAACTACAAGCCAAATAAACCTTCTCCCCTTTAACTTCAGGTGTCAGGTATTTTGTCTCAGCAACAAGAGAAAAATAACTAAGACAGCTATCAATATGGCTTATGTTTCATGCTCATGTCCTGACTTAGCATCATAAAGATGCTTAATTTCTTGGGTGCTTTATTACGTAATGGATTTGATAGTCCCATTCCAGAAATGTAATTACTGTTTGTTACCTATGAATAAATTAAAGTACATGCCACTTTTTTATATAATATATTTCTGTCCTTCTGTGAAGATAGCCAGGACAACTCTGTGTTTGTTTGTTTGTTTGT